AAGAAATTATATAATTGCTCGCACGTTTTCTGCAGAGTTGAAGGCAACAGACGTCCTCTGGATCAACCATATACCGGACCGCATAAAGTACTAGAGCGCATCTCGGACCAAGTCTTCGCCATTGAAATCGACGGCAAACCCATCAATGTCACGGTCGACAGACTTAAGCCCGCGTACGTACTAATCCAAGACTCGGAAACTCTTCCGTCCACTGCATCTTCGTCTTCAACTGACATTCCAATGCAAGGTGAACCAAAGACATATCCTAGTCCAGCAGCAAAGCGAAAGACTGTTAGATTTAGATGTAATTCGCGCAATATTACGCTAAGCAAACCAATATGTACAACTTTTGTTTGTTTCATCTATTCTTATGTTTGTTATTCTCATTCTAGCGATATCTTAGCCAGTATTTCTTTCTTTAACGTTTTCACTAGGAGGGGAGTACTGTGGCGTTGCGAGCGTTAGTTGCGGCGCTGCGAACGTTAGTGGCGGCGCTGCATGCGTCTGTCGCGACGCTGATACGGTCGTTCTTTCCATGACTCTTCCCATTCTCTCTCTGGCGTCATGGCGTGCAGACCTCGTGTAAGTCTCTGCGATAGTCAGTAAGTTAGAACTCGGAAGTTAAGGTTCCGAATTACTTTGTGTATTCCGCGAGATCGATACCGATGACTATTCATGTCTGTGGTAATTGTTAGCGTCGTCCGATAAATTCTTAGAGTGTATTTTCATAGTTCTAGCATTGTAACTCCGCGACACGATGCCGGTATCCGAGCCGTCTTACACGCGCAATCACGTCTCTACTTTCTAATCAACATTTGTATTTAGTTAATTAGGCATTAAGTGTGTATTAAAACGCCTCATGGCATAAAATCAGAAGCAGTGCGTAGCGCTCATTCTCAACCTAACTTTTTCCCGCCATATGTCCTTCGCCGTGGTTGGTAACCACCGGCGCCATATTGCGTAGCACGCGATCCAATAGCCACAATACGCGAAATAGTAACGCCATCTAAATTTCTTTCTCTTTATTTTTTTACTCTCTCTCTCCCTAGATCGTTTGTACGTAGCTGGTCGCAGAAAGGTTGCAACACTTTTTTTTCGATAGATTTTGGAATGCAGCCTACTCATCAAGCGATTGGTTCTTATTTGTAAGAACCAATCGTTCGATAAGCATACTGCATTCTGAAACCAATCGAAAAAAAAAGTGTTGCAACTTTTCTGCCCAATAAATATTGTTTGTTACAGTAATATAACATGGAAATAAGGAATAATATAACACAAGTTATTTTTATGATATAAAACTGTTACATATCATGCATATAATTATGTAATATTACAATGTTTACAGTATGAAATAATTTAATATTGTTATATCAATGTTGTATAAATTTTTTCTGTACATATTATATATTGGGTCATCTAAAAAGTATCCGCGGTACTTTGTCACTAGATATATGACCATCAACACACATCTAGTGACAAAAAACCGCGGATACTTTTTAGATGACCCAATAATTCAGTTACAAATATAGTTACAAATATAAAGAACTTCCGTTGCGTAGTTTAAAAACAGTTTCAAACAATTATTATCTATTGGACTAGATTATTATGAATTAAATTTTAGCTTAAATTATATGTTTAGTACACACGCACGCATCCACACAGACACACACACACACACACACGCATGTGAAAATGAAATATTGCCCACTGATTTGTGTTGTTCCAAAACGTGATAGTACTCAAGAAATAAAAACATAAGCATTTTTAATTAAAATGAAATAATTTATTATATATTGGGTCATCTAAAAAGTATCCGCGGTACTTTGTCACTAGATATAGACCATCAACACACATCTAGTGACAAAAAACCGTGGATACTTTTTAGATGACCCAATATGTTATATATTATAACTTTGCAATACTACTGTGTACAATACTTTATATATTGCAGTGTAATAATATTACTTGAAAATATATTTTCAAGTAATATTACACAGTGCGACAAATATGTTCCCGGACAGGGCCTGAAAATCATAATTGAAACAACAATATGCATATTTTTTGGTTTTATTTTTCAAAATATTCTCCTCTGGCTTCAATATACTTGTTACAGCGATTCAATAGTGATTCAAATGCATGTTCTAGCTCAGTTTGCGGAATTGCCTCTAGTGCCTGTGTAGAAGCTGATTGGATGATCGGAATGTCATCAAAAAAGCGTCCTTTCAATTTCAATTTCAATTTTGGGAATAATGAGAAGTCGCAGGGGGCCAAATCAAGCGAATACGGTGGATGGTTTAACACAGAGACACGATTTCGAGCCAAACATTAACGGACAATCAATGAAGTGTGACTCGGTGCATTATCATACAACAAAGATCAATTTTCTGGATCACGATATTCGGGGCGAATACGATGAATTCTGCCCATCAATCGCTTTAAAACTTCGAGATAATATGCACCAGTAATTGTTTGGCCAGTTGGAACAAACTTTTTGTGGATAATACCTTTGCTATCAAAGAATGTGATGAGCATTGTCTTGATTTTTTTATGGAACTTTTCGTACTTTTTTGCTTGTGGTGAATTTTTTGACTTCCATTCCGCACTTTGACTTAGTTTCTGGATCATATTGAAAGCACCATGTTTCATTACCCGTAACAATTGATTTTAGGAAGTTTAGATTATTTTCTGCGGCTGCAACGATGTCTCTGAAATAATTGATTCTCGTTGATTTTTGATCGCTTCTTAATGTGTGTGGAACAAACTTCGCACAAACCTTCGTTTTACCCAAATCTTCATGTAATATGATTCGAATCGTTTCTCTACTGATATTTAAAGCCTCCTCCATCATTTTTAGTGATGCATTGCGATCGTTTGCAACAAAATCACGTACTTTTTCGATCATTTCGGGTGTTCGAACCAAAATTGGCCGTCCTGATTTTTTGTCATCTTCAAGGGTCTCTCTGCCTCTCAAAAAATGCTTATGCCACTCAAAAATAGCTGTACGACATAGACATTGATTGCCATAAACTTCTTGCATCGATCGGAATGTTTCTGATGCACTTTTACCAAGTTTTGCGTTAAATTTAATCACTGCTCTTTGTTCCATATTAAAATTTCTACCTCGACCAAAATCTTGTTTAACATGATCATGTCATATCTTCGTTATATATCGACCGAAATGAATGAAACTTTGACAGATGATACCAAAATGTTCAACCTTTAAAATGCATGTTTGAACGGACAGATGTCGCCACTGTTTGCGAGATGTGGTTCGTGTCCGGGAACATATTTGTCGCACTGTGTATTACACTGCAATAGAGTATTATACATAGTAGAATTGTACAATTGTATATAACACACATTTGTATAAATATTACAACATATTGTACATTATAATTCCTACATTTAACAATTATGTATATTTTGCATGCACCCTAACAACACAAACGTTAATATGTCGACTGTAAGTCGACTTTGTACAGACGTCCTTCCAATATCGACTTTAGAATATCTAGTGCGGTTTATGCTCGCAAAGCTTACATGTGGAATCATTTCGTCCTTGTTGTTTAATTATAGTTAAACAAGGATGAATGCTGTTCATGAGCGTGTGGGCATGAAGGATCACAGCCTAGAATAGTTGACTTAAAATCGGCTTACAGTCGTCTTTAAAGTGAGACATTGTATGACTTAGAGACGTCTCCAAGTCGTCTAAAGTCGACTTACAGACGTCAATTTTTCAGACGTCTAGAAGCTCAGAATCGACTTAGAGTCGACTTTGTGCTGTTAGGGCAGTTATGTTTTATACGAGTATTCTTATACACTTATATTTTTATGTAGATTTTTACATTTTAACTTTATATTATTCAAATAAAACAAGTAACCAAACTCTCGAGAATGTCAAAAAACAAAAACAAGGGCCAATGAGAGTTTGTTGTGCTTTTGTTAGTGCGAAAATAAAAATCATTTATTGTCGAAAAACTACAGTATAATTGGTTACGTATAAACATTTCGGCCTGTTTCCGGATTATTAGTAGGATGTTCATTTTCGATCGAGTTTTAGTCGGATTGATTCTTTAAAGGATAAGCTTGAAGATGTGTGGAAAGCAACAAAATCATTTTTGAGGAACATTATGATTACTAGAGTCGATAAGGGTAATGTGACAGTGACAATGAGAAAGGAAGACTATAGACTATAGACAAAAAATACTTACATTACTAAGTGATGAAAATACATATGAGATTATTAAAAAAGATTCTACTAACATTCTTTCTAGAAAACTGGAAGAATTACTCACCAGATGAAAAAAAAAGAATTTATTTCAACAAATCCTATCTAAAAAAGGAGATGTTAAGTTGATTGCTCGCATCTCTCGAAGCTTATTGCCGCTTTTCTGCGATGTTGATTGATTCTCTCGTAATGACAGCTGCTTACTTCGTGAGCGATTGTCATTGTCGAGATTTTGACTTTGGTAAATGTGATTGACAATTGAGGTTGTGTATTGAGGTTAATATAAATGTGATTGACAATTGAGGTTGTATATTGAGGTTAATATAATGTAAAAGATATTTATTTTCAAAGTGTTAAAAGTTTCTCTTCAATATCGTATTAGATAAGTTTTAGAATCTCTATTAATTTATTCTCTCCATTCTTTATGAAAGAATTCTTTATAATTATAAAAGAATTGATTCTTTGTGCTATATTTTATTTTCAGATTTTTGAAAGAAAAGGCCTAAAAAGAAAAGGCCAGGATTTAGAAGATAATATAATCTTCTTTCTTCAAAGTATGTTTCTTACTATATACCTTTACTAGAATATCCTGAAAATTACATGTCATCAATGTCGTTAAAACGCAATTTATACTAAAATCAAGTAATTTTATTCAGAGATAGACAAACTGATTTGATGGAATGTGTTGAAAATCGCATTAAAAGTAGTACAATTTCGACAAAATCTGATCTTTGATTGCAATTTTCAATATTTGTCAATATTAATTAATAATTTGAGATATTTTATGATTCATTTTGGTATTATGATACATTTTGATTGATACATTTTTTATATAAAATATCTCGTAAACTATTTATTTTTTAATAATAACAAGAAAGAAAAACAGAAGCAAGACAAGACATTGGAAATGAGAAAGAGATGCGAGACGAGATTGAAACAAGAAGAAAACAAAAGAGATAGAGATGACAGTGAGAACGAAAGGAGACCAGAGATGAAACGAAAGAGAGATAAGATGGTCAGAGAGAGAGAGATGAGATGAGACCAGAAAGATTAAAGACGAGAGATGTGATACGAGAGAACAGAGATAGCGGACGAAAAGATAGAATTTAGAAGAGAGAGAGAGAGAGAGAGAGAGAGAGAGAGAGAACGAAAGAAAAATAAAAAAAAAGAAGGGTAAGAAAAAAAATCATAATAAAATTTGTACTTTTTCGTATAGGTATATATATTTTTTATATTTTTAATGAAAAGAAAATAAGTGAAAAGTAAATAAGTTACGAGAGAGAGAGAAAGAAAGAGAGATAAGAGAAAGAGAAGAGAGACAAAAGATGAAAGTGAGACAAGAAGGAGATAGAAGAGAC